CTGGGTGGTGGAGGTTGCTGTGAGCCTAGATTGCACCATTGTTTTCCAGCCTGGGCAACAAGAGTGAACTCTGTCAAAAAAAAAAAAGGGGCGGGGGGAGAGAGAGGAAAGAGAGAGAGTGAGAATGAAATAAAGAAAGGGAAGGAAGGAAAGAAGGGAAAGAACAAAAGAGAAAGAAAAAGAAAGAATTGAATGCTTGAAGATCTGTCACTATCTCCCGTCACCCTCACATGGACCATTTAGTTGCAGGAAAACAAAGTTAGGGATCCTGCTGATTCTACATTATGAGGGGTTTTATAATTATTTCACTATATATTACACGTGATAATAACAGATATAAAGTGCATAACAAATGTAATGTGCTTGAATCATCCCAAAACCATCCCCCGACATCTGTGTAATACTTGTTTTCCACAAAATGGTCCCTGGTGCTGAAAAGGTTGGGGATCGCTGCTCTAGACCCACAGAGCAAATGTGGGAGCAAAATGCTGAAGAACTTTGCTGACTCTTCTCAAAGCCTCAGTTTTCTCATCTATCAAATGGCGGTAACAATCATGCCTTCATTTTAAGGTTGCTGTGAGGACTGAGGGAGAGAATTCACAAAAGTCTTTCCATTGGGTCTGACACAAAAAGAGTTAGACAGTTGTTAATTGTTGTGGCTATCATTGTTACTCAAAGACGAAAGTACCTACTCCATTTGACCCGTTTAATTCTAGATAAAAGAAGGATGGCTCTGACAGTCTAAGGAGAACTGCTTTGGAGATCAGAAAATGTTAGTGTGATGACCTTCGACATCCTGGCTATGACCCTCATTTGATCCTTGAGCCAGGATGAAACCTGGAATAGAGCCCCTGTGCCACTGGCTCCAGCTGTCGCGTCTTCCGAGTGCCCTCTTTAACGTGGCAGACTCACAGCTCTCTGAGAGGTGGCTTTCCCAAAGCTGCTTGAAATTACACTTGTAACCTGGGAGTTTGATAAGCCAAGGGGTCTGGGGTTTCAATTCCTTCTGTCCTCTGCTTTTCTAACTCGCAGTAATTATCTTTGTAATGCTCTAATGCTGAATAATGATGCTGCTAATGCAGGCTGCATTTCGCGCACAGGTGCCAGCTGTTACCTCGCCGGGCAGCTGACCGCGCTGTGCACACTTAGGCGCATTCACTGAGCCCAGCCCCAGCTCACACCAACTAAACAAAGAAAGCCCCGGCCTTCCTACCGATCCACCCCGCCCCTCTCCCTCGGCCTTAAGGAGGCCCTTCTCCCTCCCTTCCCGGCCCACGCTCTCCTCCTCCGCCCCTCCCTCACTTCTTCCCCCAGCAGCCCTCCCTCCCCTTCGGTGGTTTCTTCCTGCAACAGAAATCCAGGAAACCGCCCCCCACATTTCCTTTACCCACGATTTTCTCCAGAGCCTGACTCACACACAATTCAGCTTGATTTGGAGTTCCCTTTTCTCTGCCCCATGAGAAACCCCAGTTCTCCCATTCGTTTCTGGGAGTACAGGCTTGCCAGATAAGGTTGCTTATTTTTGAGTCTGATAATTGACCTTTCGTCATGGGGGTGGGTGGGGGAAAGCATACTGAAGACAAATTACCAAAGAACAAATGTGAGGCTGTTGGCTTTTCTCACACACACACACACACACACAGGCGCGCGCGCGCACACACACACACACAAACACACAAAGACCCTTTACATATTTGTCCATAGAGCAGCCTTCAGCAGACAACATCTGCAGGATGAGTCGTTTTTCCGTAACTTTAATCTCGTAATTCATTGTTTCCCCGGTGCTGGTTACAGTCGCTAAGAGGGCAGAACGGCAGGCCAATTTGTCACACAAACAAATTTAAATGTGGACCAAGGGGTTTGCCCACCTTATGATGAGTGGTTGACTTGTGACCAAAAACACAAAACAAAAACAAAACAAGAGGTGGAGTTGAGGTGGTCTGAGGGACAAGAGTTGCAGTTTCGAAACAGAGTGGAGGCTCCTTTAATCCTGACAGCCCGAATGCTGCAGGGGTCACAGCACATCTGCTCTGGAGGAAAGACAAAGGGCAAGGTGGGGCCACAGGAGCCTGCGCGGGGCTCTCGGCTGGCCGGGGGCGGCGTGCGTCGACCTGGGTGCGGGCGGAGGGGCCGGCAGCTTTGTGCGCCCCCGCCAGTGCCCGCCCGCAGCCCCACCGCAGCGTTTAACCTTGACTTCTCCCTCCTCGCTTCTGGCACGGGAGGAAAGCCGGTCCAGATGGGCGTCCTGAGTGTGACGACGTCCCCTCCCGCCCCCGCGCTCTCGCGCAGATGTCGCATGCTGCCTGGGGTCCTGCCATGCCGCCCACCTAGGCAGCGGGCCCGGTGCGCCCCGGGGTGGCGGGCACACCCCTCACCCTCTCCGCCCGCCTGCCCGCCCCGACGCCCTTCGCATTCCCTTCTTCATCCCTGGCCCCTCGGACCCGAGCGCCCAGGCCAGCTCGGGGTGTTCCCACGGGGGTCTCCGGGAACAATGGTGAGCCTGTGCTCTGCCGGCTGGGGGGGGCGTCGTCCCCGCAGCTGGCGTGTCCCTCCCGGCTGAGCGCCCAGCCGCCCCAGCCACCCCAGCCACCCTAGTCTGGGCCACCTCGCCGGGCGCTGTGGCCAGGCCGGGCGGGGACATCTGAGGCCCCAGAGACCCGCGCTCATGGACAAGTGTCGCCCGCGCCGGGCAGGGCCGTGGAGACAGACCACGTAGTGACAGGCCGGAGGCGGCTGGAGGGATCCATAATTTATGATGTTGTTCTTACCAATCCGGTTTGGGATTTCACAAGCGTTGTCAGTTTCCTTCCCATTTGTTGCTTCCGTCTATCCTTTTGGAGAAAACTTTTTCCCTCCCAGGATAGAAGCAGTTGCCCTCCTGAATTAATGTGATAAGAAAAGAAAAAGTGGGATTGATGGTGAAGGAAATAGGGGGAACACAGGTAAGGGGGTGGGGCTGAAAGAAAGGTTGCTTAGTCCTTTGTGTACCTTCGACCAATTTTACCCAGACCATGAAGAAAAAAGTGGCCATTCTCAGAGAGAAGGGTTGGAGGGCTCCTGCTGAGAGGTAGCAAGAGCAGATCTTCCCCACCACTACCACCCATCATCCTCCTCAATTGCAAGCAAATAAGCCCCTTGGCCCTAAGGCTTTTCTTACAGTGCTGCAGGACCCACCAAAATGAACTTGGGTCTCCAGAAAGTAAGCTGTTAATTGTTCCTCCTTGCATTGCTTCCAATCTGGGCCATCCTCGGGAGGGACCCGCCTTGAGGCACTGCAGCCTTAGTGCTCCTAACTTAGGATACATTTGCGGACCCTGGGGCAAAGGATACTCCTGTCTTGAAAGTTCCTTAAGTTGCGTTAGTGACTGGGGAAAATTTTATGGATTTTATCAAGTTTTAGTGCAATGAATAAGTATTAGGCATAGCAAAGAGCCCTAAACCAGCTGGGGGAAGTTTTTTCTCAGGCCACCTTTCCAGGTTTTTTTTTTTTTTTTTTTTTCCAAGAAAAGAAACTTTTATTCCAGACCCCCTCCTTTTCTCCTTTGGGTTTGGTGTTGCTAAATGGAGCTCAGGCCGGAGAGCAGCTGTTGCCAATGCCTGCTGCGGTTGTCTCTGCAACACAAGCCTGTAAAGACTTGAGTAAGAAGAGGTTTGAAGTGAGGAGATCTCTCCCAGATGCTGCCAGTGCAGGGGCAACGGGAGGGTGGTCCCAGGCTGCTCCCATTGCTCCTGTGGGTGAGGAGGGGACAGGCCTGGGAAGAGCCGGGAGCTCCCGAGCCAGCAGCCCCTGCAGATGGCTGGGTCATTTTGTGGTTTACAAATGACCAAGTCAGGTTGAAGCCACAGTCGCTGTGGTTACAGGCACCCGTGATTAGTCACACAGTTAGTGACCCAGTTACGACACACCCTCTTTTAAAAAGGACATTATTCAACATCTTGCTAGCTTGATTTCAGAAATGGTCCCCTTATATAAGGAAAATGAAAACTGCAAGGGGTAGGGGATTGAAACCTAGGGTGTGTATTCAGGTCTGCCAGGAGTTTGGTTTGCTGAAAAGGAGCACAGGTGGGGTGTGACTTTTGTGGAAAGTAGAAGTCCACTGAACTTGGACTAGAGATTGCCTTCCAAATCCAGGTATGAGCCTTTTAGAAGGAAGTCAGAAAGGGGCCTGAGAGAGAAAGACAAGGGCCTCCTGAGCTTCGACTTGGCTCAGTGTTTGTGGCCAGCTGTGAAATGAAAGTGGGGAGTGAGGAAGGCAGGAAGGGGAAGAAGAACCCTGAATATGGAGGCTCGTGTGGGTTTTTACTTTTTAAAAATAGCATTTCTTTTACCACAATGCTGCAGGAACTTGTAAACATGAATCTCCAGCAATAGTAAACAAATTAGTCTAAGTTCTTTTATGTGCAAAGTAAGTAGAGCAAGTGTCTCTCTCTCTCTATCTCTTTCACTCTCTCATTTTTTTTTTTTTTCACAAAGAGAAAATGCAAAACAAAAATATTCCCTCCCTTAAAAGCTTCTTTGCTGGTGTTTGTCCAGGAACAAATAGTCTTTTATTCGAATGGTGTCCAAAAGTTCATAAGCAAAAAAAGTGCCCAACGTCTGGTCACCCACAATACAGTCTCTGGCTACATAGTGGAGCTTTTCTGTCCTGAATTTGTGATCTGCTATCAGAGTCCTTTAATTTCTCTGAACAGAAGGCTCTTTGGAAGAAGAAAGGATGGGGGTGGGGAGCAACACTGGAATAGGTCTTTTTTTTTTTTTTTTTTTTTTTTTTTTTTTTTTTTTTTTTTTTTTTTTTTTTGCTGTTTTCTTCCAGTCAGCAAGTAGTGCTTGGATTCTTCTGATCTTCCCCAGCATCTTCCCGAGGTGCGGGCCACGGAAGGGTTAAGGAGGCCACGGGCAGGTTTCCCTGCAGGGGTGGGGCAGCTGGGCAGGCACCACCCACCCCTGAGGCCCTTTATCTCCTTTGGAGATTTTCCTTTTACCGTGTGTTTAATGCAATCTTCAGTGATGACCGTCTTTTTAAAGCCATAGGTTTCCTTTAACTGTCGGGAGTCTACAGATATTCTCGACATTCCAAATGTAGGATCTGGCCAGATGAAAGGAAAGAGGCAACCGATTAGGGAGAAGATGGACTGTTGTTTTGAAAGATGGGTAAAAATAATGATTTGAAACTAAATTTTAATTGCTGATAAACAATCATTTTACACATTTGGCTGCTTTTTGTGGGTTGAAGCTACCGTTTCAATGATTTCAGTTTGGTACACCTTTACATCACAGCCTTGATAAAAGCTGGGTACTCTTCTATGTGCCCCGATGCAGGCAGGAACAGGGTGCCTCAAGGCCGTGCTCTCATGGAGCTTTTATGGGGTGGCAGTGGGGGCTAGGAATTAATTTTAAAAATAACTTTTGGGGGCCAGGAGCAGTGGCTCATGCCTATAATTCCAGCACTTTGGGAGGCCGAGGCAGGTGAATCACGAGGTCAAGAGACCGAGATCATCCTGGCCAACATGCTGAAACCCCATCTCTACTAAAAATACAAAAATTAGCTGGGCGTGGTGGCGCACACCTGTAAATCCCAGTTACACAGGAGGCTGAGGCAGGAAAATCGCTTGAACCCGGGAAGTGGAGGTTGCAGTGAGCTGAGATCACGCCACTGCACTCCAGCCTGGCGATAGAGCGAGACTCTGTCTCAAAAAAAAAAAAAAAAAAAAAAAAAATGGATAGGGATAAGTGCCTTGAAGATAATAAAACAGAATAAAGAGGTTTCTCTGAGGAGTTGATATTTGAGCCAGCCATGGTGCCCCTTGAAAGAAATGGTCCAGGCAGAGATGGCACAAAGACCTGAGGCCAAGATAAGCCACGGGGAGGCCCCTGTCACCGGGTTGGGGAGAAACAGAGTGGAGAAGGGGCTCAGGGTCCCTTCACCCACAGACTCCTCTGTGCTTACCAGAGTTGGTGATTTGCACACCCCCCAGGAGTGCTGTTATTACTGTGGCTTGCCTGTATTCAGCATCTACTTGATTCAGGTCCACTTGCAAGCCAGCAACACAACCGAGAGTTCAGACCTCTTCCCTTTTATCTGCAAATCTCCTTTGCCTTGACTTTAAAGCCAGCCATATTTATTGAAAGCAGCAGAAGCAACAGAGCAAAGGAAAATAAATGGGGTCTGATGTGCGGGAGGGAGGTGGAAAGGCCTATGTCTTGGGAGCTGGCAGACTGGTGCGAGGGGCTGGGGTTGCAAAGGTTTGAGGTGAGAGATCCATGACCCATCCAATGCAGGACCAAAATTCCTCTCAGGTGAGTTTTGTGCCCACCGGAAGCAGTCGGCTCTGATGTGAGCGTGGCTTCCTTTCTTCTCTTCCTTTGATTCTCCTTGTGCTTATATGCCCCAAGGGGCCGACGTTCAGTCCCCAGATTTGCCCCAAATGTCTACCTGGAGGCCTGCAACTCTTCAATCACACTCCGTGGCCTGGGGAGTGAGTCCACAGATTTGGTTCTTCTCTCCGTGGAGTTCCTGGGAAAAGAGGTCCTCTCTCCTCCNAGATGAAGTCTCGCTCTGTCGCCCAGGCTAAAGGGCAGTGGCGCAATCCTGGCTTAATGCAACTCCTACCTCCTGGGTTGAAGCGATTCTCCTACCTCAGCCTCCCAAGTAGCTGGGATTACAGTCACACCCCACCACACCTGGCTAATTTTCTTTGCATTTTTAGTAGAGATGGTGTTTCACCATGTTGGCCACACTGGTCTGGAACTCCTGACTTTAAATGATCTGCCTGCCTCAGCCTCCCAAAGTGCTCAGATTACAGGCGTGAGCCAACGTGCCTGGTCCCTGCTTCTCTTTTTCCTAAACTTGGGTTCTTGATGGAAGGTTTTCCAGTCCTTGGGAAGAAAAATGAGGGAGAGGAAGAAATAAAGGAAGAGTATATGAGGCAGCAGGAAGAAAAGGAACTGGGGCCTGAGGCGGGGGTGGGAGGACTCTTCTGCCTTCATCCCCAGGCCTCCATATTGGGGAAAGAATTGTTGTCAGTTGTAAGTAAACTTATGTACTAAGATTGACTCTTTCTGGCCTCTTTTAAAATGGGGTGCTGTGGACACCCCAGCTGTTTGCCTCAGGCAGGTACCCTTATGGGGTCTCTAAATGGGTTGGCCTGCCCACCTCCTGTTCCTCTCAGGGCCTCTGCTTCCTGGCAGGGCTGCAGGGAGCTTTACACAGGGGCCCTGGGAAGTTGATTGGGAGCTAGCTGTTCTCCATCTCTGCACTATCAGCTCTCAACGGCGCCTTGTCATGTTGAAAAGGGCCCAGAATAGCAATCCTGGGGCTCTTTACAGTCAGGAAGGCTCTGGAGAAGCCACCTCTTTTGGGCAGAGGCAGCTGCCAGGCAGAGGCAGGAACATGGGCCTAGAGGCCTGGGCCTCCTTTTCTCCTGCCCTCTGACTGCCACCCTCTCCTGGCCCCACTCATCAGAAGAGAAGCTAGGCTTCCTATCTTTTTCAACTTCAATTCTCTTCCACGATACAGACTTCTGCTTTGTTTCATCAAGCTATCTAAAGTCACAGAGAACTGATATTCTCCTTTCCCCTGCCCCCCACCCCCCATTCCAGCTTTCCCTTGATCTCCCAAGTTCCAGCTCTAAGTTCCAACACAGTGGGTCTGATTCCTAGCTCTGCTGCTTACTGGGCATATGACCTTGATAAGCTATAGGCTTTTTTGGAGCCTCAGTTAACTCATTTGTAAAGTGAGAATAGTAGTGCCACCCATCTCATAGACTTGCTGTGAGAATCAAACAAGGTCATTGATGAAGAGTTCCTCAAAACGCCTCGCTCATGCAAAGGGCTCAAATACATGTTTGCCATTACAACAATCAGCACTGAATCTTGCAAGCTAGCTCCTCCTTAATTGCTCTCCTCTCTTGGCCTTCATAACTTCCTATTATGCTCTGGGGCTGGACTCTGATCTCTGCTTTCTGACTTATTCCTTGAAGGTCTCCTTCCATCTTCGTCTCTGCTCTTCTTGACTTAACTGGAAGGTTCCTGTTGGCCCTATATTTGGCTCACACTGTAGAAGCTCCTTCATTCATTCCACCATCACCTCTAGAAAAGACATCTCTGGCCTTTGCCTCTTTGCATCTGGTGTCCTGAAACTTTAAGTTTCACTTGGACTTCTTGTGCCATCACCAAACCCAATCCTACTCTCACGAAACCAAATCATCATATTCCTGCTAAGCCAGAAATACTCTCTCAACTTCCAAATGTCTTGGAGCCATACTTGTTCCATCTTCTTTTGAATACTCTTCTTCTCTACCACTGTCCTCATCTACTGAGACTCTGGTCCAAAGCTTTTTTTTCATAGCTGTCTCCTTACAGCTATTTCTTTTCCAAGACTGTCAAACATGCCTAGATCCTGAACACCTCATGGCTGTGATGCTCTAGTTGCTATGTAACCAGACCCCCAGGGTCTGTGCTCCTCTCTGATCACAGGATGGGCTCAGCATTGGAGATATAACAGAGCAATGCCCTGCCTGCAAGGAGTTTACAGTCAAACCAGGAAGACAATACAAATAAGCAGTGACAATGAAGATCGACAAGTGCTCTAGGTGGTCAGGCACAGACGGTCACAGGGCCATATACTAGGGATACTTAACCTTAAGTTCAGAAGATTAGAGAAGACTTTGTGGAGGACACGAAATCTAAGCTGAGGCACAGGAGAAGAGTAAGAGCAGCTAGGTAGGGGAGGAATTCCACGCTGAGAGGCACAGGGTACACAAAAGTCCTTCAGGCAGAGAAGCATGACATGTTTGAGGAACTGAAAGCGGTTCAGCCTGGGCAGAGTGTGGGCAGGATGCTGAGACACAGGACTGGAGAGGTTACAATGAACAGGGCCCTGGAGACCATGCACATGAGTTTTGATTTTACCCTAAAAGGAAAGCCATGGGAGGGTTTTAAATGCTGCTGCTGCTGCTGCTGCTGCTGCTGGTGTGTGTGTGTGTGTGTGTGTGTGTGTGTGTATACACTGACCAGACTTGAGTATTGGCTGTTGGAAAGGAGCAAGACCAAGGCAAGGTTGTCGCCCACAGTATGGGAGGTGGTGAAGCCTGCACTAGGATGGGGAAGAGAAGCAGAAGGATGGGGACAGTATTTGAGAAGAGTTGAGATAGGTCGTATCTGGGAAGCTAAGAATGGAGGGATGAAGGGAACTCACAGGTCAGAAACATTAAAGGATATTAGTGACATTCACTGAGTCTGGAAACATTGGGAGCACGTGGAGGGAAATGGATGGATTCACTTAGTGCATATTGAGTCTCAGGTTCCTGAGAGACATCCACATGGATATGTCTTTGGGAGCACTGGGCATCATTGGCAAAACCAGGCAGAGACTTGCTTAAGACTTGAGATTCTGAGAAAGTGTGTGTTTATTGCTTCTATAGTTTGAGATCTTTCTTTCTCTTTCTTTCCTTCCTTCTTTCTTTTTTTTCTTTCTCTTTCTTTCTTTCTTTCCTTTTTCTTTTCTCTCTTTCTTCTTTCCCTCTTTCTTTCTTTCCTTCTTTCTCTTTCTTTCTCTTTGTTTCTTTCTTTGGTCTCACTCTGTCGTTCAGGCTGGAGTGCAGTGGCACAATCATAGCTCACTGCAGACTTGACTTCCCAGGCTCAAGCTATCTTCTCACTTCAAGTCTCCCAAGTAGCTGGGACTACAGGCACACACCACCACACTCGGCTAATGTTTTTAAAAAAATTTGGTAGACGCAGGATTCCCACTATGTTACCCAGGCTGGTCTCAAACTTCTGGGCTCAAGCCATCCTCCCACCTTGACCTCCCAAAGTGCTGGGATTACAGGCATGTAGTTTGAGATATTTTGATTGCAAGAAAAGAAATTCACTCAAGCTAGTTAAAATAAAATGTTATATTGTTCAAGTACACAGGCTCCATGGGAAACATTGCTCACAGGGGAGCTGTGAGAATGGGAACAGCTCTTCTGAACTACACAGGAGGACCAGGTGTCCTCTTGTTTCTCCATTTCTGCTTCCCTCCCTGCTGTGTAGGCCCGTCTTCTCTGCTTATCCATGCGACCGGTCTCCATCCTCTGTTACCTTTGCTCTCTACAGAACTGACTCCTTTCTAGTCTCGCAGCTGACCTAAGATCTGAATTAAAACGCTTACTGTAGACTTTACCACAATTTATACATCTCTTTATGCAAATTTTTGAGAAGAGGGGATCTGATTGGTCACTTAGAAGTCCATAGCTCAGCAGCTTTGGGTCAGGTGACCATTCTGATCCAATCAGTGACAGTAGTGTGTGTGTTTATTGGGGGGAATTCTGTGAAAGGGTGGAATCAGACCAGTTGTTCTATAGAATAATTTTTGGTAGGACAGGATGTTACACTTATTTATTTGTCTAACTTATTAAATGTTGATTCTGCTGCTACTACATCTTTCATGTAGCAAGAGGAAAGCATAAGACACTGAATGTGAATGACCCCTTTACCAGTGAGATGTTGGGCAATTTACACATATTCTTATAGCTTCAATTTCCTACTCTGTAAAATCAATGTCTCCTTTACCAGCAGAGGGAATTAAATGAGATAACGCTGTGACATGCCCGACAGATGGTAGGAAGCACTCATGACTGCTCCTTTCCTCCTGTTACTTCTTCTTATGCTTGTTCAAGTCACTGTTTTTTCAGAAAACAGAAATTGTACTTGTCAAATCACATTTTTAGAGTGATTCCTATGCATGAGCATTAACAAATATTTATGGAACAATCATATATTTTATTCCATTAGCAAGCACGTAATTGTAACCACTCAATAGCATCTTGGAAAACTGAGATGAGAAAAAAATCATTTACTCATAATGCTGCCATCTAAATGAAAACATAAACGATTTTATTTATTTCTTTTTAGCTTTTCTTCTAGGCATTTTTTTATTTTTACATAATAGAATCATAATTTACACATGATAAAAATGTGTTTTAAGGCTTTTTTTTTTTTTTTTTTNTTTTGAGATGGAGTCTTGCCTTGTTGCCCAGCCTGGAGTACAATGGTGGGATCTTGGCTCACTGCAACCTCTGCTGCCTGGGTTCAAGTGATTCTCCTGCCTCAGCCTCCCAAGTAGCTAGGATTACAGGAGCATGCCACCACACCCGGGTAATTTTTTGTATCTTTAATAGAGTTGGGGTTTCAACATGTTGGCCAGGCTGGTCTCAAATTCCTGATCTTGTGATTTGCCCACCTCAGCTTTCCAAAATGCTGGGATTACAGGAGTAAGCCACCATGCCCAGCCTAAGATGTTTAAACCTAAATTATTTGCAGAATGAAAGCCATATACTTTGAACACATTTGATGTTCATAAATCTAGAGTACTGATTGGCGTCTTATTTTAATTTCCCCTGTTTCACCCAGAACATCTCAGGATGGGGAAACATTTGGTGAGCACCATATTGGATTCTACCAAATTATGTTCCAGGTAAGAGCTATGTCCATTCAACTGCACTTTGAGATGTTGGATTTAACGTGAGGCTAATGAGGCCAAGCCATAGGTTTCGTTTTCACAGGAGCCAATTAGCCTTACCAACTACTATATCCACAGATTTTACCTCCATCCTGCTTTCCCACCTTGCAAATGAGCGCCAGGGGTCATAAGGAAGATGGAAAGAGAGCACAGAGAGTGCAATGCAAATTCATACCATTACTAGACAGTAACTCAACAGCCTCATCTTCGAACCATTAGATGAACTTCTATTAGGTGAAGTTCCATTAGGTGAACCATTAGGTGAAGTTCTAGATACAGCTAGAATACAGCTAGTCCAGAAATGGCTCTTTTCAAGGATGTTAGATGTAAAAATCTCTCTAGCTTCAAATGAAACAGGGTTAAGCAGCTCTAAACAGTGATGAACACTAGAGACTTCCTTAAGCGGTAAAGTCTTTCCTTAAATAAATACCACTCAACTGGTTGGAGTTAGTAATTTTGAGAGAAGTAAATTATAGCTGCTGATTGTTCTATGTCATTAATAAGCCTTGGAGAAGATCTGGAAAGCACCTGGGAGAGGCTGGAGAAATTTGGAAATATGCTGACCATCTCAGTCTAGTCAGCCTGCTATAACCCAATCCCATAGACAGAGGGGCTTATCAACAACATACATTTATTGCTCACAGTCCTGGAGGCTGGGAACTCCAAGATCAAGGTGCAGGCAGTTCAATGGTGAGACCCTGCTTCCCACTTCAGATGGTGTCTTCTAGCTGCATCACCGCATGGAAGGGGTGAGGAGTCTCTTTCAGGCCTCTTTTAGAAGGGCCCTAATCTCATGACCTAATTATCTCTCAAAGGTCCCACCTGCTACTACAATGGCTTTGGGGTATAAGATTTTCACATAAGAATTTGGGGAGGACACAAACATTCCAACCATAGGACCCATTATGGTGTTTGCCAGGGACATCTTAGAGCAGACACAAATTAAATTTCATTGGAGAAAAATGCATCAGGCTCTTTGGGAAATTTCTGCAATGATACCAAATATTTGTCACTGAGCATCTGCACTGATAGCATTTACTTTCTGTGCACTGATGTGCTTGCTTTTAAGGATGGCCTGACCACTCAGTCCCTACTCCCTGCAACTCCACAGAGGAGATATAAGCTGTCAGAAATATATCTGTGAGTCTGATGAGCCCTTTCACTCAGGTGACAGGGGTTTGTGCCACATTAATATTACTCTTCTTCACCTTTTGTGTTTCAGGGCTGGGCCTGGAGAAGGCAGGGATCTTGGCTCTTCAGGGTGGCTGTTCCTCAGCACTCACACATTTGCTACACTGGTTTAGTCGCACACTAGAAGGTCCATGTGTACCATGGAAGCTTTCGGGCTGTTTTTGTAGTATCTGGATTCCCACTCCCCCCATTACCCCAAGTCCTCTTTCTCTTCTTTGGAGAGGACACAGTTCAGGCTGAGAGCTCATGTGTGAGGCCTCCCTGAGTTGCTGTTTGATATTGTTCTTGCTTGTTACCGCATTGGTGGCATCGAATGTCCTTATTGATTTTTGCCTGATTGGTCCAACCTGGAGCAGGATCAGCTTCATAAATGGGACATCTTGTGGGCTGAAACATGAGATTTGTTTTAACAAACCGCTCCTGACCATCATCTCTTTAAGGGAAGCAAGGAAAGCCAATTGCTGAATTTCTTCTTGGCTCTCTCTGGTGATCCCTCTCAATCCTAGTTTTCCTGTTCTCTTTCAGGCTGCTTTCATCTGCTACTTACAAAACCAACAAGTAAAACAAACAAACAAAAACCCAAAACTAAACAAAAAACAACAAATGCCAAAGAATACTCACAGAACTACCAAATGATTCCCTGAGCCCCTGAATCAGAGGGAGCTGAATCATTCTGGCTGCTGAGTGCAGGGTGTTGGGAAAAAGTGCCATTGTGTAAGTTAAGGAAAGGGTCAGAAAATCCAAAAGACAGCAGAGGTGTTAAACAGCTTCTGTGCTGGGATTCTCCTTTTAAGCTATCCGAAGGCACAAATCAAGAATTGCAACCTTGGAGATGTAACAAATGAACCCAATTCTGGTGTCGTGTTTTATTTTAAAGTGAAATTCCACTGTTTCCCAAGAGTTTGCACATGAAGCTTTACATATTTTTCATGTCAGCCCCCTTCCCTGCCACCTTTGTTTTCCAGCCTGCCTCCCCCATAACAGCTGGACACATCACGGTTCCATTTTTCTATTGGTTGTGACTGAAGTAGCTTGAGGTCAATTATTTCCCCAGCAATTGACAAAGAATCTTGATGAAGAGGAAAGTGACATTGTCCCTTGAACAACACTGCTCCCTCCTCCCCCTGCCCTCCTGGCTGAGAGGAGAGAGCAGGGCGGACTTTCCTTTTGCAAGGAGCCCAGCAGGGCGGTGGCGGTGGGGTCTGTGGAAGTGCGTGGGTAACATATGGTAAGTGGAGAAAATATTTATATTCATGGTGAAAGAGCAGGAGAAGATCCAAAGAAGGTCATTCCACAGAGATTTCAAGAGACACTGACTTGATATTGTGTCTTTGACCTGGATACAACAGAGAATTTAAAGAAAGAGTTTGCTTTTGTTGCTTTCCTGCCACCGTCACTCCCAACAATCCGAATTATTGGCAATTCAAAAAAGAAAATATTCCACCCTCTACACTTGAAAGTATCACACTGGCCTTTCCCGGGGCCCGGCCAGGCTGCCACGCCTTCTCCCCTCCCTCTGCGCCTGGCCCCCAAAACCAGACTACCGAGCCGCAGTCCCTCAGCCCGTCCTGTCGGCGGTGTTTGTTGTCGTGACTGGGCGTCTAGGTGGGATGGATCGGGCACTTGGGGCGACTGGCTCTTGGGGGAAGATATAATGAATCGGTGTTAGATTACTTTCTGATGAGACACATGAAACCTCCAGTGCTTTAGTGCTTTCAGCAGGCATTTAGCATCACAGCTTCCTACGAAAGGTAAAAGGCCCTCTTTCGGTACCCCAGTGGCCAAATTCGCAGCTGTGGGTGGGTACCACCATCAAATGCGCGCGGGGCTCCGGGACAGAGGCGTCCTCAGGTACCCTCGAACCGCCCACACGCGGACGGACGGACGGACACGTGCGCGTCTGGTTACCGGGACTAGCAGCTGCTGGCGTCCAGTCTCCAGCGCCCAGCTGCGGCCCCGCACCCGAGACCCGCAGAGGAAACTCTCCATCTTGCCGTCGAAAGTTTACTCCCTTTCCCGGGTGTGCGGGAAGAGATGGCGCGAGGGCAGGAAGGCGTGAAACTGGGTTTTGCCAGAGGCCCACCGTGACTTTTCATTCACTCTCGTGTGGGAACTGCTGGCTTTCTACTCCCCGCCCCCCACCCCCACTCCAGTTCCCGAGGGGGAGGGAGTGAGATGGGATACAGGTGTGTCTGGGTCTCCGCTTGGGAGGGGCTCTCCCACTTCGGGACCCGTCGCGGAGCACCCCCTAACCTAGCGGCCTGCGGCACAGAGGCCGCGCTTAATGGATTCTTGCAGATAAAAGGGCCTGGCTACCTTTCTTTCCTATAATGGCCCCTGAGGCTAATGTCTTAAAGAGGAAACAAAGGGATTGTTTTACAGCACACAAGGAGGGTGGGGGGAGGAACAGGAGGGGAGGAGGAAGGGGCAGTGGATGCGCGGAGAGGGAGGTGGCCCCCTGCTTCTTAACCCTTCACCTCCTGCGACCGCCAGGTCCTCGGAGTCCCGCACCCTTACCCAGGACCCGAAACTGCGGGGAGGAGGCGACCGTGCGCGGAGGGCCTCGGCCTGTGACTCGACCTCCAGCTCCCCTTGCCCCCTTCCCCGTCTTCTTTTTTAAAGAACTTCTGAATGGGAGAACGGAAAAGATCAGGGGACCCGCATCTCGTGAGCTGCAGTTCTGAAAGTCAGTCCTAGAGGGGTCGCCTCTCGCGAGCCCCAGGTGCCCACGCAGGATCGACGCGTGGCAGTGCCACCGGGGCCCGGACTCTGGGACTGCCGGAGGCGGGCGCCTGGGGCGGGGACCCGGCGTGCGCGGAGAGCACCAGGTGAAGGCCGGGGAAAAACGGCAGCCCCGACACGCGGCCTGTAGCTCGCCCTGGGAGCTGTTCCCGGGTCCCTTTTAATACAGCCTTCAGGTGTGAGTGGGGTGTGCGCCGGCCGGGGGCGTCTCTTACAGGAAGTTTACATTTGCAAACTCGGGGAGGGGGAGGGAGGTGGAGGAGG